ACTTCACTGATCTGGTGCTTCTAGCTTCCCTAACTCCTGCCTCCTAGTTCCTAGTCTGGCTTTTTTCAATTTCGCCCTTTGCCTTCTCTCTGTTGCATCCCTCAACTGCGGTTGTAATTCATTATGAAGAGCTTCCGCCTGGAGGATCTCATAATCCTCTGGTGTGAGAGCAGATTGTTGGCTGACTTGCGAACCGACAGACCGACTAACGGAACGCTGAGAAACACCCTGACTAACTCCTGATGAAGAGGCTTGGGACAAGGCTTGTGACATGGTAGAGGCGGTAGCCATTGCGGCCTCGATGCTGGCTGCTGCTGCCCTAGACCTCCACAATACCACCCTCTCGCTAGCTTCCCTCCGCAGCCTCCTTTCCTCTCTTGGACCTAACTCCTGGAAAGTGATCGGTCGACTAAGAGTAGTTTTGTGGGTCACTAATTTTTCCTCTTCCTCACTACTAACTGCTTCACTCATGAGCTACAGTGGTGTGTGATCTTAACTAGAATCCACATTGAATCCTAACTCAGCATGACACCCAACCGAGTAATAACAATCGACTATTTTCTGTCAGCCTCGAGAAGTCGTCAAGTTGTAACCAGCAATCAATGCCAGGTCCTAAAGGTAAGTCTATTTCGATGTTTACATTACTCTAAAATAGAATGCAATGCAGCAAGGATTGGTCTATCCTATCTGCTGTTGTCTGTCACTTGTCACCAAGTATGTACAACTAAATAATCGAAAATAAAAGTAGATTACCTGTGGAGATGCATGCTGGATGGCAGTTTATCTTATTTGCTCCACAGTGAACAGTTGCCGCAATCCCACCCTCCCCCTATATCCCTCTCGAGTAGTCTCTTGTGTCGATGTCCTGAGCATCTGGTTGAGCAGCGTGTCTGGAGGTGTGCAATCTGCCCCACCCCTGTGCCGCAAGTCTATGCTAAACCTGCCAGCCCTGCACCTTGTTTACCCTCGCATGCAACGAGCCTTACTTCTGATTGATCTGGCTGATCAGGAGGCAGTTTAAGGACAGCCCCCAAGGTCCTCATGAATTATTTAACGTCGCAGACAAGACGACGATCACAGCCAGGGTTCAACCGGAACCCGCCAGAAATGTTCATAGACGGTTTGGTAAGCATCTCTTGAAGGGCTGGCATGCCCAACATGACCTCTATTGCGCAGCAGCTGAACCAAGGCCTTGCGGCAAAGCATGCGTGTACTCGTCCCAGCGGGTTGGCGTGGTGACCGTGACCTGAGTGCTTCGTCCAGGGCCTGTCTCCCACCAGCTTGTTGCCCGGGAAGAATGTCGACTCTCAAGGTTTAGCGCTCGCGACACCTCACATTGAGAGGACTCTCAAGACAGAACTCACTTCCTCACGGTAAGAAGTAATGAAGAGGTTAGATAAGGAAGAGAGCAACGTACCTCATAATGCTGCCCCAACAACAGATTTATCACCGGCAACCTGACGTGCGTTATGATGACCGGTCCTCACCTTGGCACAACAAACAGCGAAATGCACTTCCACCTCGGCTCAAATGCCACATCAGCAAGCTCTCATCATCCAGCGTACATCCCTATGTCGCCGCATAACCTTCCTGGCGCGCCCACACGACCCTGGGCCGCCTATCGTCCAACGCCCAAGCCTTATCACTGCCCCACACCTCATGAGAAGCACGAAACAGCTATTGCAAATAACCAGTAAAGCGCAGTTCGAACCAGCTCCGATACCAAATTGCAAGGAAAATGAGCAGTAGCGAGATGACAGAATCAGATTGCACAATCACATTGAAAACCAGAAAGTCCCACAGTGTCCAGAAAGTAGCATTGCACCAATAATACACCAATGGAGAATCGTAACACTGAAACCGAATGTCAATGAGAGTTGTCTTCACCAACATAAGAGTCCAGGCCCTTCCCCCTACTTGGTGCTCGACGTCCAGACTACTCCCACACAGCTACCATCTGCCTGAGATTTGTTGACGTCAACAGCAACCAAAGTACATGAAGATGTTGCCCAAAGCAGACCATCGACAATACCAGGTATGAGCCCTCACATCCTCCTCCTCCTCCTCTCTCTCTCTCTCTCTCTCTCTCTCTCTCTCTCTCTCTCTCTCTCTCTCTCTCTCTCTCTCTCTCTCGTCTGTCCACCGTGTCTTCGCTCTGTACACCCGAAGAACCCCTGCGCCTTGCTGTATTCCACGTCCAGCCAGCTATGGAAACTGGGCTATGGCGCTGCCCTCAGCAGCGCCCTTCTTCCCACACGACCGCAAGTGCACAGCACCTTGCCCCTAGCGCTAGCAGCAGCACGCGAGCGTCCGCTCCAGCAGCACTGCCGCAAACTGGCAAGAGCCTGAATGAGACTCCAGGCAGCGATCTCTTTCCTATAGGGAAAGAGTCTGCCTGGCTTTCGACCTGGCTGGGCTGGGCTGGGCTGGGCTGGGCTGGGCTGGGCTGGGCCGGGCCTGCACCCAGAAGCTTCCGGTAGGCCCCAGGTTGCTGGGCCTCTGCTGGTGCTGCTGGGCCTCGTTCAGCTACTCCTCCCGACTGTCTGTGTATACTGCTGCGAATGTGGCCCAGGGCCTGCACTTCAAAAAAGTGCCTAGAAGGCCATGGAAAATCTTTGCTGCTCAGGTCCTGGGTTCCCTCAACCAACTGACGCGACACAAACTGGCTGAAACCCCAAACACAAAATTGACAGCATTGGGCCTCTCGTGATTTGTTAGGCCCGACTTCACTTAGGGCGGGCACACTTGCATCATGGGCCCCCTTAGGCCTTCCGAGGAGCCTTATCCTCACAAAAAAAGGAATCAAATTGTTTGTTGGTTTTGTTCATTCTCTCTGTGTTTTCCCCGTGCTCTCTTCAGTGTGTCAGTGCAGCATCTTTGAGATGCACGATGCTGATTGTTAGAAGAGCAAGTGAGTTGTGGTACCAGACCTGCAAATTCTGTAGATTTCTGCAAGTTTGCAATTTTGTCCCTGTTATTCTGTAGTAAATTATTTGTTTGTCGGAGCTTCGTCCGTATTCGTTTCACAACCTTGAGGATATTTCTGCAATTTCCTCAACCGGGACATGTTGGTAAATATGTTGCTGGAAAGGATTCAGCCGTGACTCATATCCAAAGAAGGCACGGAACCACACCTTTTTCCAGTACTTCAGGAAAAGGGATAAATGCAGGGGCACCAGCCCACGAAAAGTTCTATCCGGGGTAAGTTCTTGAAATAGCTGGGCCACAGAGCCCAGCCAACCCAGTCAAACGAACATCAGTGGGTGCAGCTAGGCTGCCTGGGCGCTGACTGAAGGAAAACGGACTTGAAGGCTCCCTTGACTGCAATGAGAAACTCGTGCACTTGCACTGGCTGCAGTTGGGGGTACTGAGAGCTAGGTAGTGCAAGTAGCACTAGCCTTTCTAGGGCAGTTTTGCGGTTGTTGACGCTTGGGTGTTGTTGTTAACCATGTACACTTTCAGA